GCAAGATACAAAAATGGTCTATTTTCAGTTCATGATTATTGTTTATTTTCTTTCCATATAGCTCTAAGGTCGGAATGAGACTATGCATTGAAGATTGAGATTAAAGATTAAAGATTGAAATTTCACCAATAAGTGAAGACTTTTCTTCTCAGTTTAATCCATTCTATCTTTGTGCGAAAGATTCATCGTTACTTTTAGAACACCCTGTATACGCAAAAAGGATAATTTTTTAAATAAGAAAATATGTGTTTCCTTTCCACCAATTTATTCATCTCGTTATTCTGTTTATAAAACTAAAGTACGATTATAAATACATTAATAGGTTATGATATTTATAAATTATAATTTATAAATTAGTTAATAGTTATTTAATAATTTATGTCAATATATACCAGAATAAAATATAAAATATCTCGTAAACTATTAGTTTTTTATATCACCACTTTAAGTGAAAGTTAATATAATGCTTTTATATGCAGAATAATTAGAGGAATCGTATTGTGTAAAAAAGATCATACAATTCCATTAAAAAAAGTGGAGGTGACTTTGATTTCCGAAGCACCTCTACCCATAGAAAAACTATTATTATAGTAGTCTATTATACCCCTCTTAATGCTATACAACTTCAATAAATATATTATTTCATATGTTTCAAAATAGCGGAAATATTCTAAGCGGACAGAGTTCTGCTCCTGTATATAGGGTGTTTCAGAATTAGCGAATACGAATTGCACGGTGTAATTATATGTGCTAAAAGAAGCAACTTTTTCTTCTGGTAAAATTGCGTTCAAGCAGTACTTATTAAATGAGAGCAATTTTAAATTAACGAATAAGCGTTCCACGTTACGCATGGATCAGGAGCAACACGTACACTCGACGCGGCCCAGTGTATGAGTATTTACGTTATTATTTTGTTAAGGATTTTATAAAAACTAAGCATGATATCTAAATATCACTATTTTGAATACAACTTATTTAAGAAGAGAATTTTTTCTAATTTGATATCGCTGAAGAAACGACTGAAAGTAAAATAAGTTGATTAAACAACTCGTGAATAATGATATTTGCACATCATGCATAGTTTTTATAAAATCTTTATCAAAATAGTACAATAATGACGAACATGCTCATATGCTGAACTACGCCATATATATGTGCGTCGTCCCTGATCTATGCGTAACATGGAGCGCTCATTCGATAACTTAAAATTGCTCTCATTTAAAAAGTACTGTTTGAACGCAATTTTGCCAGAGGAAAAAGTTGCTTCCTTTTGGCACATACAATCACGCGGTGTATATATATTAAAAGTGTTACAAGTTGAAAATTTGCGTACGTTTCGATCCGCGTTTAGGGTCCTCTTTAGTAGTAAAAGTCTTTAACATATAGTGAGATTTTTCTACATTACATGGAAACATGTCAGTTTTCTGTAGAAACAATCATATGCAGACAACAAGGATTGCTTTTCTGTCAATTACAATCGCATCCATCAGGTTTTCCATTAAATCCATCGGATGTTCATTAAATTACCTGATTTACTGGAGTATGAACAATTAAAAATACGATTATACAAAGCGATTATACACATATTGATACAATAGTTAAAATTTACATGAAAATCTCAGATGGAAGTATCTAGCGATGCTATATGTAAGTACGAAAGTCATGATTAAAATGCGAGTATATATCTAAACAATAACATAATTGACTCATTGCAATTAGTAGGTTTTGTATAAGAGGCGGAAGCGCGTCATGTCTTTGATATTAAAAACGCATATAGAGGATCTCTCTAAAAATTCTGTCTCTTTTTTACATTCAGTCAATTTTTTTGTTTATATTAATATAAAAGTTATTTCCGATAATAGCCATTTATTTAAAATGCTTTCTTTGTCTAGAATTTGTATACTTTCCTAGTCGAATTCATGGGAAAATTCTAATCGTGCTTTGATTACAGAGTGCTGCGTCGTATTCCAATTTGTGTAATTCGGAAATGATTTTTACACGTAAACAGAAAATGGACTGATTGTAAAAAAACGACATAGAATTTTTAGGTCCTCTATATGTTTCTTTCATATAAAAAACGTGATGTTTCCCCTCTTAAACAAAGCCTACCAACGAGTCAATATGTAACTGTTTACACATATACTCGCATTTTATGGTAACCATGACCTTCGTATTTACAACATTGTTAGATACTTCCATCTAAGATCTTCATCTAAATTTTAACTATTATATCAGTATATGTATAATCGCTTTGTATAATCATGTTTTTAATTGTACATAATACAGTAAATCAGGTAATTTAATAAACATCCAATGCGAAAAACCTGATCGATGCGATTATAATTGAGGAAAAAGCAATTCTGGTTGTCTGCATTTGCGATTGTCTCTACCGAATAACCGACATCGTTTCCACGTAATGTAGAAAAATCTCACTATACGTTAAAGGCTTTTACTACTGAAGAAGACCCTAAACGCGAGTCAAAACGTATGGAAAATTTCAACTTGTAACGGATTATAATAAATTGTATACGCAACAATAACCCTGTATATATACATACATATATACAGGATGTCCCGACCTTTTTTGCCAATCACTTTTGTGTAGATAGAGTAAGCTAAACTGAGTCGAAAAGTCCTCTACCATTTTGCAATTTTCGCAATAGTTAACGAGATATTAATTACTAAATATTGCAAAATATTAGTCTTGAATAATTTTTTACTCAAATACTATCAACTTTACAGAAAAACTGCAAGAGACAAAAATTATTTATTTTCTTCTCATAAAGTTCTGAGAATCTTTTCAGAATTTTTTCAGAATTTTTTAATACCGTATTTTCTCATGTAGGTAAAAATAAAAAAGCGCAGTACTAAAAAGTTAATAAAAAATTCTGAAAAAATTCTCAGAACTTTACAAGAAGAAAATTAATAATTTTTGTCTCTTGCAGTTTTTCTGTAAAGTTGATAGTATTTGAGTAAAAAATTATTCAAAACCAATATTTTGCAATTTTTAGTAATTAATATCTTGTTAACTATTGCGAAAATTGCAAAATGGTACACGACTTTTCGACTAAGTTTAGTCCACTCTATCTACACAAAAGTAATTGGCAAAAAAGATCGGGACACCCTGTATAGAGGAAAAACCTCTTTTATGAGATACCGAGTTCATATTGGATAAACACTAGAAGCCTACACTGAGAGAAAAATGTTTGGTATTTGTAACTATAATTATATATCACTATAATTAGGATTATTACTGCTATAATAATAATAACAGTAACTATGTATATAGTTCTAGCAACATGTATTTGACAACCTAAAATGACTATATATAATTATAGTTGTTATAACCATAAAATAGTTGAAATTACCGTAACAATGATTCAAGTGACTATAATTTTATAGTTATATTTTGGGACAACCATATTTTTTATGAACCATTTTTATGGTAATTTCAACTATTTTATGATTCTAACAACTATAATTATAGTCATTTTAGGTTGCCAACTATATACATTTGTTGCTAGAACTATATACATAGTTACTGTTATTATTATTATAGCAGTAATAATCATAATTATAATGATATGTAATTATAGTTACAAATACCAAACATTTTTCTCTCAGTGTATGGGCAGAAACTAATAATACATTATTTTGGAGGGAATTTAATAAGCTTTAAGATAATGTTATAATATGTAAACTTTAATTTAAGTTCTATTTTTTTTATTAAAGGTATGTAAAAAGTGAGCCAATCGCAAAGTCAAAAAATTGTGTTCCTAATATGAGATGCCCCGAAAAATTGATTAATAAAATGCAAAAGTATATCAGTATTGCAATTAAAAAACTTTATTTGATGTTTCTAAAATACAAACAAACACAACGTGGACGAAAAATGAGCATGCTAAATTATATCCAGAACTCGTCTTCAGGTAGTTGAAACCAAGCATTGCATAAATAGGCACTCGATGTTCATTTCGGTTGCCCTTTTTATTATTGTACAATAACGTTCATACTTTAGTAAGATTTTCACTATGACATAGGAGCATAGATTATTTCATATTAGAAATATACTGGGTATTTCATATTACGATTTCCACGCCTTACGATTTTATGATCATTATATCTAACTTCTGTAATTAAGCAATTCAATATATCCCGTATTTTTTTATTAGTACGATTTTACTCTATCTGTTATATGTATGGTATGAAAAGATCCGGTCGATGGGAGTGCGCAGCAAAAAGTTCACAAATAAAATAAAATAACCAGTGTTTATTTTATAGACAAATACAATTATTTGGTTTTGGTGATTTATACCTTAAGATTATTAATAAATTATAATAAATGAGGTGGAAGAAAAACACAACCTAAGATAATCATTAGGCGTCTTAGTATTTAGTTGATGGTTGCGAGACACCACCTGAGCTGATCGTCAGGCAAAGCTTGGAATTGACGCGCCGTTAAAGCGGCCCCGCGGCTGGCCCCGAACGCTCATTAGGGCGGCCTATCCGAGCCAAATAATCGGACAATTATGGGGGCAACCAATAGCCTAAGCTAATCTTTAGGCTTCTTATTATGGGATCATGAATTTATATCGTTCACTCGGAAGTCGAGCAGGCATCGTCAAGTTTATGCACCGACAAAAGGCTAATTATTTCTTACCTTATTGAAAGGTTTCCCCTTTTTAAGTATGTTTACAGATATATGACATGAGATCCTCAGAGGGTTTTTTTTTTAAGGTTTTTTTGAGTAAATAGTTAGAAACCTCACCGAATGTCAACGAAAAGAAGCGTAGCAAGCCAAGAAGAACAAGAAGCGCGCGAGAAGACAACAAAACCATAGTAACCGCTCGTTTTTTATGCGCAACAGATCCGCGCAGATGGCGAGTTAAGCTCGCACTCTCACCGCGGAAGCGGCCGCAACCTCCGATACACCACTCTTCGAGCTATGCCAGAACATTCCGCCCGCCTTCGAGAAGCGAATTCTCGAAAATTGTTTGCTTTTATTCGACGGGCAGGAGGCACAGTTTGGTGACAGGTCGCTTGAGAGTGGAGGTGGCCGTTCGCAATGTGACGACTCTCGTCAATCCATCTTCGCCAGGATGCAATTGTTGTATTCGAGCTAATGGCCATTTGGCTGGAGGATAGCGCTCATCTGCTATCAAGACTAAAGATCCTTTTTTCGATGGATGGTGCCACTTTGAGATAGCTTGATAACGTTGGAGGCATTCAGTTTTCCATCGTTTCCAAAAGTGCTCCACCTTTTGACGAATAAGTTGCCATCTTGTTAGGCGAGAATTAGGCTGATCGATAAGGTTTGGTTCGGGAAGTACATTAGGAGCGTCGCCAAGGATAAAATGTCCAGGGGTTAGCACAGAAAAATCTTCTACGTCTTCAGACAATGGACAGAGAGGTCTAGAGTTCAAAATCGCTTCGATTTGAGTGGTGAGAGTTGAAAGCTCTTCGTAGGTAAGTATTGAGTCACCTATCATACGACGAAGATGATATTTAGTTGATTTTACTGCAGCTTCCCATTTACCTCCAAAGTGAGGAGCGGCTGCAGGAATGAAACGCCACTCTGTCCCAAGATCAGCTAGGAGTGATGCTAACTCTTTCAATTCCTTTGAAGCTGACTGGAAACGACGTCTTAATTCGTGATCAGCGCCGACAAAGTTTGTCCCGTTATCACTTTGTAAAGTTGTACAGATTCCTCGACGAGCTGTAAATCTTTTGTAAGCTGCAATGAATGCTTCTGTAGTGTAATCGGTGACAATTTCGATATGAACAGCGGAGGTGGAAAAGCAAACAAAAATAGCTAAATAACCTTTGTAGGTTTTCGCGGCTCGCCCTCGCCAAGTTTTTATCGTTATAGGACCTGCGTAATCCACTCCGGTTGTTGAGAAGGGACGAGAGGGAATAACCCTTGACAAGGGCAGTTGACCCATCAACTGTTTAGCTTGAGTCTGACGGTATCGAGCACCAGTGATGTTCCGTGTGGGAATAAAGTGACGCATGCGCACCAAGCAACCGCTATGGCTGCTCAGTAATGTATATATCTTGATAGGATCTGATGTATCTTTAGGCCCTAGCAAGGTAGGAAATATGAAGGGAGTTACAAATAGAAGAAAGTTCCTTTGAACAAATAGAATAAATTGTTAATACAAATAATAATAGAGAAATGTATATGTTTTACGAACATATACATTGGAACATGTTCAGATATATTGGAGTATACAACGCGAACAAACGTGTATTATCATAATTTTCTATTGCGTATTTGTTTATTTGTGCTTTTTGTTAAACAATGATTACCTACCTCTTGCAAAAAATGCACGAAAATTCGTAAAGACTTCGAGCCCTTTACGGGGTACGGCCGGCACGGGAACCTAACGGCTAACGGTTTCAGATACGTCCGTGAAAGCAGACGACACGCGACTGTGACGTCAGCTTACGC